CTTCTTTATTAAAAACTACTTTTATAAACTAATAATATATTTCAAACGTATACATTAATAATTCACTATATGACATTATTCGACTTTCATAAAACCCTTCTACATAGTTCCTAAAGCAAACTACTTGCTGATGTAAAATTTTACTATGAATACCTTGTTTATTAAGAACTACTTTTATAAACTAATAATGTACGCAAACGTATACACTAATAATTCATTATAAAATTTTTCGAATTTCATAAAACGCTTCAGCCAAATGTTTTATACAGTTCTGTTCATAAAAGCCAATTTTAATTACTAATATGCCTATATAACTGTTATGACCACCTTGTTTGCATTATTTATGAGCACCTTGTTATTAATAAAAGTTGTGTTTTCTTATTTAGGAATCCTCTGATTTATTGTGAAAATTTTCGATTTGATTTATCAGCATGGAAAGAAAACAAATGAGTCGTTCTAAAAAGGAAGAAAAGAGAATCAGATGAAAATACTCATTTACCATGAATTTAAAGCTAAAGTATATTCGAATTAGGTACATGCTTTTACAGAATGTATTAAATATTTTTAGAAAATAAAGTATTTAAAATACTGTTAAAAACGTATTCTTTCCATTTATGAACATAAAAATTTTTTTCAGAACTTGATGTATATGTTTAACTTCTTAAAATGCTGAATAAAAAAAACATTATTATTTAAAATCGAATCTTAAATAACGAATCATTTTGCAATCAGTTTCAAGCATAAATGATCTGATACGCTAAACCTTCCGATTTGGCAGCTCTGTAGACAGCTTTATGTGGTAAGTCACAATTAAAAATTTAATAATTGTAAAATAAAATAGTGAATCATAAAATTCGCTACCATTTTAATCATTCAAAAAAACTCATTATTTAAAACACGAGAAATTTATGTACTATGGGCTATTTTTTTTCTGACGGTAATGAACTAATGCTGAAATGAAATGTTTAGAACAAATATGATAATTATAAGATTATAAAAGGAAACTTGGAACATAAAATTATTTCCTTATTATTGAAGGAGCTACGTAACTGGAACCGAAGCAACTATGGGCAGCCTCGAAAGGAGAAGTTAGTAGTTCAGGGGGCCACGGTACTCGTCTCTTGACGTCATGTATCCATCAACATTTCTTCATTATTATTTTTTTTAGATTTTAGTACAGTGAAACCTCCAGGAAAGGCCACCACTGAGTGGCGACCTCCTCTATTTAAGACAACTTTTGGGAGGTACAGAATTTTTTTTCCAGAGACTTTATGTTGAAGAAAATCATTAAGAAAGACCACCAAAACCTCTCCCAGCGACCGGGCCAACTTCCGTATTAGATGCGGAAGTCGAATTAGGAAACACGAAAAAATATCAAAATAAAAAATATTAACAAAACAAATATGTAGATTCAAATATATTCAAAATATTTGCGAGTGACACTTATTTAGAGAGCTTTTTTTGACGATCTCTGAAAGAGATTTCAACCCCGTATGTGTGTGCAGCAGTCAGATTGCATTAAAGCTTTCAATGATTGATTTTTCGAGCTGAAGATTAAATTTTTTAAAAAAAAGTTATTTTTGAAAAAACTAAGAATCTTAAAGGAACAAATCTCTTCTCGTTTTTTAAAGCTAAGTTATTTTCATGATATAAAATTAAATGAAAACTTAAACAAAAAATATAATTGTTTATTTATTTAAAATAGTTCTTTATTTATAATTAGTAAATTTTTTCACACATAATTGGGGTGCTTTTTTTTTTTTTTGATTCTAAGTTTTGTTTATGGATCCCTTTTTCATGAAATTAACACAAATGCTCTTCTTCTCCAAGAAAATGACAATGAGTAAAATTAAAATCGCTTGCGAAAAATCATGCACAATCGATAAAATTTTGTAGTCAATGGTGGTAACCCCATTAACGACCATTTTACTGCGAAACAAAGAGTGTCCGAGAAGTTTCACTGTAGTTTAATTGTTGTTTTAAAGAGATTGCTTCATTTATTAAATTTAAAACTCTGCTAGAAAAGGGAGTCTTCCTTTCAACAAGAACATAATTGTTGAATTTCCTTAGTAATAATTTGAAAAGAATATTACTTTAGTTATTTCTTGTGTTTCTTTGCACTCTTTCAAAGAAAAATAACTTTTTCATCCATCTGCCTATTTATAATTCAAAATATGAATCGTAAGCACAGTAAGAAAAATTAAATCTCAATACAGTTAAATATTTTAACTATAAAAAAAAACAGACTTTTAAGCAAAACAAATAACTAGATTTCTTTTTAAATATAGAACATCAGTTAACTCGACTTTAAACGAATTGCAAGTTTTTTTTTTTTTTTTAAATTTTTTTGATGCTTAAATTACTTGACACTAGAAGCTTTCTAACTACAGAATTAGAGTATACAAAAAGTAGTTCAGTATTAAATGTACTAGAATTAATTTATACTCATTAAACATAATATAAATTTTATACATGTACTTTCGCATCTTTAATTACCAAACATATGACTTAGTGCAAATGTCCATAAGAAAAGTTGTAAAGATCTGAATGTATAAACAGCTAACTACAGTGGCGCTCACGTACTTAACACTGGATCGCTAAGGAAGTCATTTTGACTGCTTTTAAATTAATTGACTGCTTTTAAATTAGAAAAACAATCCATATAATGGCACAATTTCTTAGAATTTTGTGACTTTTTGTACAACATATAATTTTTTTTATTGTTAATATTTACTAATAACTTGTTATATAACTGTAAATATTATAAAAAATTTTAAAAATTAATTTTAAAGAAATTTATTTACGCATTCACAATCCAGTCATTTACCACAGTCATTTTCGCAATCCAGTCACAATCCACAGCTTTTGGGCAATATAGGTATATACTAATTTTCTGTCTTTCTAGTGTAAAGGACATGTCTTTATGGAAATTAAAATCCAAAATTTAATGTTCACGCATAAGTTTATTGAATTGATAATTATGCATTGGAACAAATGACTTATTTTTTTTATATATTTTCACAATGAAAATCATTTATCTAACTGTTATACTTAAGTTATGTAACATTTTAGTAAAAATATGCATTCCGCATACTTAAGGACAACAAAATAAATATTTCTTAATCGTGAATAAAATTAATAATAATGTAAAAAATGTAACAAAAAAAAAAGATTTGGAGCTAGTATTTAGTCGGCAAGCCTTTTGCGGCAATTACTGCTTCACATCTACAAGGCATCGAATCTACTAATCTTTGACATCGCTCAGGAGGTATAGCTACCCAGCCTTCTTGGACACATCTCCATAAATCACCTGAATTTTTTGGTTTTTGCTGTTTCACATATTTATCCACATCTATCCACAGCATCTCGATCGGGTTGAGATCTGGTGATTGGGAAGGCCACTGCAAAACCTCAAATTTCGTGCTTGACAAGAAGGCCTTCGCAGTTTTGCTCGTGTGCTTTGGATCATTATCGGCTTGCATGATTGGTTTTCTTGAGCGAAGTTTCCTGTAATAAGGCAGAATAACAGTCTTGATAATGCCCACATACATATGCTGATCCATGATGCCTTCGATTTTGGGAATTGAACCTCATCCTGAACGTGTCATGGCACCTCACACCATCACCGAGCCGCCTCCACCTTTTACAGTTGATTTTGCACACCGAAAAATTAAATTCTTCACCGACTCGACGCCTCACGTAACTTTTGTTATCTGAGCCCATTCTATTGAACTTCGATTCGTCTGTAAATATAACTCGATTCCAGTCAGCCGATGTCCAGTTTTGGTGTCTTTTTGCAAAAACTAATCGAGCTGCTATATAGTTCTTTGACATCAACGGTTTTTTCCTACATACGCGACCCATAAGCCAAAACTCATTTAAACGCCGTTTGGTATTATTGCTTACGTGCTTGCCTGTTAATTCAGCGAATTCTTTTCTGATGTCTGGGGTGGTTTTGTGACGATCAGCTTCAGAAATTCGATCTTCTCGTTCAGTAATTTTGCCAGGACGTGGTTCTCGGGATGCTTTTTCAAAACTTTTGGTCGCTTGATTAGATTTCAATGCTTGGAAAACTGCTGTTTTTGATAATTTTACCGCCTACCCAGGGCGCCCATCAGGGGGGAAGGTGGGCCCGCACGATGCGCCCACTTAAAGCTTGGGGGGGAAATTTACACTAAATAAAATGAATAGTTTGGGGGGGATTTAGAATTTGCCCAAGAGCTTGGGGGGGCCACTGCGCCTACCAATTTCTCTAATGTGTAAACCTTCTTTTCTCAGAGTATCTATTCGACATCGCTGTTCATTGCTAAAATTTTTTCCTTTACTCATAATAATGTTGAAATTTGTACTAAAAAAAAGAAAAAAAATATTAATATAATGTTTTAAAGCATCAAATAAAGATAATGTAGTAAATTTCGCTTATATTGATCGATAAATTGATTGTAATCATTCAATAACTCATGATTAGACAAACTGTCCTTAAGTATTCTTATACTTAAGGACAGTTTGTATTCTTATTCGTATTCTTATACAAAATACTATATTTTTTAAATAAACATTTATGAAACAATTGTGAACACGAATGAATTATTTGAGGATTGAAGTTCAACTAAGGTAAAATTCGTCATTATAGATATCTTGATCAAAACATAATATTCATCCAATATAATGACGCATTTATTTTGAAAGCACAGTCCTTAAGTACGTGAGCGCCACTGTAGTTTTTTAAATAAGAGCTAATTGTGTTCTGTTCAAACATTTTAATTTTTTAAAACTTTTAAAAGGTAGTAGTTTTAAAAGTTTTAAGTGTAGAAGGTAAATATTCCTTCTACACTTAACCCCTTCCTTCTCTCTCCCGTAAAAATGACGGGGTGAGGTTTCGCCCTCTATTTCTCACTCCCGTGAAATTTCCGGGCTAGAGTGTTCAGTAGTAACGCGCAAATAAAAATAAAACTAATTCATTTCTTTTGCCTGAAGAAAAATTTCTTTCTCATTTTACACACCAGATGGCAGTACCAAGACATTTTTAAGGTAATTGTAAATACTAGTTAGTTTATTTTAAACTACATATCAGCACTAATCAAATACATGTATATGGCAAAATAGGCACTTTTATGGCCGTTTTCTTGAAAATTAACCGATCGTTAAGCGGTTAACCTTTATTAAATCTGAAGAAATGAAATTATGATTTAGCTGAACTGCTGCTTTTTTTTAACCTCAAATTATATTTTTAGTACATGAAAGTTGTACTACATTTTTATGATTCGACTGTGATTTATCCAATATATTGTTATTCACTCATCTGAAGTTTTGAATCAATATAGTTGGAATATTTTCAGATAGGAAACTAGTCATGGAAAAAACATTTATTTCAGTTCTTCACAATTTATTGAGAATTAATATTTATAACTGATGATATGATATTGTAAAAATATTTCATGTTGTTCATTTAACAAAACGATACTATTGCTACACCTGATATATAAATTTAAAGGCCTTTTTTCATGAAAGCACCTTTTGCATCCTTGTATAATGGTTCCGTCGCGGATAAAATGTTACAGTAGACATACATGTGTAAAAAATTCATACACATTGAAA